CATAAGTGCATATAAAATTCTACAAGCCTTTAAAATAAGCTTTGCCTCCACGCTGGTCACACTAGGGAAGAGTTCCCTAATCCCATTGACTCTTCTAACTCCATTCCCCGCCCTACTCCCCAACATTTTTGAATTCTGTCATAATGTATTTTTTTTTTTGTTCTAAGAAATATTTTATTTCATTGTCACTTCTTTTTATTTTTAATTTGTGGAATAAAACAAGCATTTCAATGAGGTATTAAATAACACCTGTTTTTCTGCAGCTTGGTATGGGTTCATGTGTCCTTTATTTCTGAGGACTATGTCTCATTGGGATCATGGCCCCAGTTTTGCCCTTTAAAAAACTTATCCCCAATACCTCAAGTGAAGCTTGATGAAAAAATGGTGGCCACTTAGTTTATGACATTGACAGATTAACTTTGCCTTAGATCTACAGCAGATGTTTTGGGTGGGCTTGGAGCCATAAGTTATAGATATGCCAAGTAAGCAGCCTCCTACCTAGTTTAATTTTGGGGGTGCTTCAAAGGGTCTTTTGCTTCTAAAGTCTCTCACCTGCAGAGGAGCTGGCTGGTTTCTAAAAATTACCTTAATCTGAGATGAAGTAATTTTACTACCTAAAATGCAAACATCTCTGAAAAAAGATCACACATTTACTTATATGCACAATGGGATGTTAATGAAGTTCTGCTAACGGAATAATTTCTGATAATAAGTTTGGATGGAAGTCTGAGAGAGCCTGCGATCTCAGGCCCCAACTTCTAGGTGTCTTGCTATGCCTTATGCTTGCTGTGGAGTAAATCAATACACATCATTATAAAGGATCTACTGCTTTGTGCATTGCTTATCTTTTTGATTCTTTTTTGAAATTCTCTTCAATGTCAAGATTTTTTTTTTGCTTTTTGGTGAGGCAATCAGGGTTAAGTGACTTGCCCAGGGTCACACAGCTAGTAAGTGTCAAGTGTCTGAAACCAGATTTGAAATCAGGTCCTCCTGACTCCAAGGCTGGCACTCTATTCACTGCACCACCTAGATGCCCCCAATGTCAAGATTCTTGAAATGGATCGATCAGCTATAGAAATTTAACTTCTTATCATTACATGTGTACATGATCACTCTAGTGTGCGAGATTCTGTATTTTGTCCCAATTGGTACAGATGGTAAATATCAGAACCAGGGTTTCAATCTAGTCTTTTTACTCTAAATCCAGTTCTCCTGAATGGCTCCTCCAAACCCTTAGTCTACACAGGTGAAGGCCCTACCTCCATCTTCAAGGACTGTATGCTCAGGATTTAGCCTAATCAACCTGGAAGAATCAGACTTGTCTATGAACTGGTGGAACTGTGCCAGAAATAGGATTCTAGCTCGAGGAAGCTCAGGATTTTGGGGCCCACATCGCTCTTTAGTGAGATGAGCTTGCCTCATAGCCAGGCCATTTTAATTGGTCATTAGCTAAGTCCCCTTTGATGAAACAAAAAATGCACTTCACTTGTCTTCCCTACTTCTTTCTACCTGTCCATTCTTCAAGGTTAGGTTCAAGCCCACCCAAAAGTCTGGCTCCTCAGTCTCTATAGGGAAGTAGCTGGAGCTGCAGGGAAAGTCCAACTTATCATGACACATGGGTTGGGTTGTATCAAGGTTAAAAAGTTCAACGTAATGAATGGACATGAATCTTGGGTCTCTGTTAGAATTAACTAAAGTTACTTATCCAGGCCTATATGGATCAAACACATGAATTGCTGGGAAGTTTAGTTTTCCTAGACAAAGGGAGGCTGTAGGATTCCAAAATCCATGGAGTACAGAGGGAGTTCCAGAATATGGAAGTGTGAATATAGCTCCAGGTCAGCACACTTCCTTAAGGCACTTTTGTTGTTTAGTTGGTTAGTCAATTCTGACTCTTGGTGACCCTATTTGGAACTTTCTTGGCAATGATACTGTAGTGGTTTGCCATTTCCTTCTCCAGCTCATTTTACATATGAGGAAACTGAGGCAAACAAAATTAAATGAATTACTTGAGGTCACACAGCTAGTATCAGAGGCTGGATTTGAATTCAGGTCCTCCTGACTCCAGGGCTGGCACCGTCCCTTTTATCCACTGTGCCACCTACTATAGGTCCTATTAAATCCTAAGCCTTCATACAGAACAGCAGAGAGCCTGTCCTTCTCTATCAGAGGGGATGGAAGCAATGCCTAAAAAAAACTGTCTGGAGTATATTAACGAGAAATGATCTATCATTGAAATTAATTTAAAAGATTTAAGCATTCACAGGGACTAACAGGTCTGCACCTGTTCATCTGACACTTTTTAATAGCTTCTTTTAAAAAAAAATTCTCCTTCTTCCCTGAAGGTGCCTGCTTTGTGAATTGAGCAGTTAAATAAATGTAAGGTAGGAGAGAGACATGACTTGTTAATTAAACACTCTGTTTGCTATTTCAAAGTTATGAAGAGAAGAGCTTGGCAGAGCAACGGGAGATTGGAGGAGTTAGCTGAGAGTAGACAGTGATTGGACTTTTATGTGCTATGTAAAATCACCCAGCGGGAATGGAATAAGAACATGTATTCATTAGCTTTCTCTTTTTTTTAAATTAAAATTTATTTTTTCAATCACCCACAATCCATCTTCTCTTCCTCTCTCTTCTCCCTCTCCCCCAACTGAGAAAAAGGGAAAAACAAAACTCCTGCTACAAGCGTATATGGTTAATCAAGACAAATTTCCCCATTGGCCATGTCCAAAAATTAATGATAATCTGCATTGAGTCTATTACCTTTCTATCAGGAAGTGAGTAGCTTATTTCATCATGAGTCCTCTGAAATCATGGTTTATCATTGTGTTGATCAGAGTTTCTAAGTCTTTCAAAATTGTCTTCATAATGTTGTTATTGTTTACATTGTTCTCTTGGTTCTGCTCATTTCACTCGGTATCAGTTCATGCAAGTTTCTCAAGAACTGTCCCCTTCATCATTTCTTATAGCACAATAATAGTCTATCATATTCATGTACTCTAACTTGTTCAGTCATTCCCCATTAATGGGCACTCCCTGCCCAGTTCCTGATTCTCAGCCACTGCAAAAAGAGCTGCTGTAAATATTTTTGTATAGATGAGCTTTCCCCTCTTATTTCATCTTATTGGGATAGAGCCCTACTAGTGGTATCACTTGGTCAAAGAGTATACACAGTTTAATTCCTTTTTCAGCATAGCTCTTAATTGCTTTTCTGAGTAGCTGGACCAGTTCATAGCTCTACCAACAACATACCTGTTTTCCAGCCATCCTTCCAGCATTTGTCACTTTCCTTTTTCATCAATTTTGCTAATTCATTAGGTTTCTAAGCTAGTTTCTTCCACTCTCCTCACCTGGCACTCTGTTCATTTTGTGTCATGGTGGCAGTCGAAAACCATCACTCTTGAAGTATATAGAATCAAATCTCTTTCTAAATCTCTTCTCCAAAGAAAGCTTTGATCCAATCCAATCTAATTTATTTCAACCCAATAAACATTTATTAAGCTTCTAGTGTGTGTAAGACAATGAGATGGATATACAAAGACAAAAATGAAACAGTCTTTGCCCTCAAGGAGCTTACATTCTAGTGGGTAGATAGAGAACATACACAGAAATAAATATCATTCAATCAATCAACAAATATTTATTAAGCACCTATTATGTGCAGGCACCAGGAATACAAGTAAAAAGAACGAAACGATCCCTACTCTTAATGAGCTTTGAGAGAGAGAGAGAGAGAGAGAGAGAGAAAGAGAGAGAGAGAGAGATAAAGAAAGAGACAGAGATAGAGACAGAGATAGAGACAGAGACACAGAGACAGAGAGGAATACTAAATGAAGGGGAATATATCAAGCCATCTCTGATTAATGAATTAGTGGGCCACTTTTCCCTCTTCCCCACTAACTCCTGCTCTTCTATTCCTTAAACTCCATTGGGGATTGTTGGTCATGTTAACATTTACCTTTTTAGTCTTGATTTTTTAAAATGATCTATGTTTAAGAATCTATGCTATCTCTTAAGCACAGTTGTTGGTTTGTTCGATGAGACTAATCACACTAGCAACTTCTATTGGGCAGAGATTATACTTTTTTGGTTCTCTACTGTGTACTGTAGAAACCTGAGAGTGAAAACATGAGGTGGCTTAGTAAATTCTGTGGGATTTAGTAATGTGGTATAGGATGTGTGTGTGTGTGTGTGTGTGTGTGTGTTGCCAATGTAGTTTATATGTGTTCATATGAGTCTGTCTAGATGTGTCTCATTGGGAGGCATAATAGATGTATCTCCAGAGTCTCCTCTACCTACCCCTCTGCCCTGGACTCTGATGATTCTGGAGGACAGTGAGGCTGATGACTCTGCACAGCTCTGCCTCACTTAAATCCAATTCACTTGCAAGTCAAGACATCACCCTCCTGATGTCATTGGTCTTCTTTGAGAAGGAAGGGCAAACAACAAACAAACAAAAGGGGGACTTTGAGTTCAGCCAGGAGGGGAGCAGGATACTGGGGCCGTAAAGCTTGCAGCTCAGGTTATTTAGCAGATAAAGCCATTTATCCATGCTGATAGTAAACAGAAATCAGAGAAGTTATACAATTTAGAATTTACTAGATAATACAAAGAGCAAATGAGCTCTCTCATTGGGAGAGGGAAATCTTAACTTAAGAGAGCAAGAGGAAGAGAGAGAGGGAAATCAGCTTAAGAGAGGGAGAGGAAGAGGGAGAGGGAGAGAAGGAAAGGGACAGAGGGAGAAGAAGAGGGAAGGGGAGGTGATGGGGAAGAGAAGAGATTAAGAGAGAGGGAGGGAAAGGAGGAGAAGGAGTAGAGAGAGAGAGAGAGAGAGAGAGAGAGAGAGAGAGAGAGAGAGAGAGAGAGAGAGAGAATCCTTTGGTCTTATCCAAGAGGAAATTCCCCCAGATCTCTAGTGTGGTAAACTAAGGATAAGGATAGTGTGGTAAGCTGGCTCCTCTACATGTCAGCTTCTTTCAAAAGTTTTTCTCTCTTTCCAGGGACCTCTGAGTGTGTCACTTCTTGAACCTGGAAGCCAGAAGAACCCAGTTCTCTCGTCTCCTGAGCTGGTGCCAACCCTGCTCCTCTTGCAGGCATGGAATCTTCTTCACCAATGGGGAGAGTCTTATGCAAATTATTTGAGACCTAGATTACACTGGTATAGTGGGAAACTCAAAGATTTATAATTTAGAAGACTTAGGTTCTAATCCTGGCTCTGCCATTAACTACTTGTGTGACAGATAAATAAAATCATTTCACTTCCCTAGGCCTTATTTTCCTAATTTGCCAAACAGAAATAATAACATTTATTCTCTACACCAAGGACCTCAGATTCTTTATCTGTAAAATGAAGGGGTTGGACCTGAAAGCCTCTAAGGGACCTTCCCCTGCTAAATGTGTGATCCTCTGATTCTATAAAGAGGGTTGTTGGAAGGCTCAAATCAAACAATCCAGAGAAAGCTGAAGTCAAATAGAAAATTGGTTGACGCAGAGGTGAAGTCAGAGCTAAAACCTCCTAATTCTTAGTATTGTGCCCTTTAGACTACAACATGTTTATTTGTGACTAATGTCAGGATCATCCAGTGAGAAGAACAGGAACCTTTTATTTGGGTGACAAGAACAGGGAAATACATTCAGAATGTGTCTATTTAAATGTTGGCTAAGGAGTAAAAAACTGAAGTGAATTTAAGCATCCCTTCAAAATATTTGGAGCTTCAATTAGGTTAGCGGGAACTGGGGCTCTGTCTCAGGGACTCCAAATTTAATCAGTGTCAATAGCACTCGTGTTTCTTCAGTCCATAGAGAAGAAAACAAACTTAGTACCAACTTAGTTATTAAGACGAGTTAAAATAGGAAGCTTACAGGTGGCCATGCTTCCTTGCCTGCAACCCTACCCTGTCATGATACCTGTATACTAGGGTGATTTCTTCCCCGTGTCTACCCTTACTCTCCCTTAGTAACAGCTTCCGCAGTAGGGACTGGTGTCCTTGTGTCTCTGTGTTTCCTCTACAAGTCTTGAAACCGTATGTCCAGAGATCTGAGGTCTCTCCCTAGACCACACATTCCTCTTGCTCAATGTTTATCCTGGGGTACATTTTGGTTCCTTTTGTTCCTATACCAGACTTGATAGTTGCAAACAACTGAAAATAACAACTTCAGAAACATGAGCACAATGTTACCAACTAAAAAGAGTGCCTCAGATTAAGAAACCATAATGAGGGTATATAGTAATGCATGCGCCACAGTTATAGAATACTTTTTTTAAACTTTGTAATCCTAAAGCATTTTTAAAAGTTTTTTTTTAAATGAACATAAATCTACTTTTTCTCTCCCCTAATCTCCATCCCATTGGAAAAAAAAGAAGAAAACTAAAATTGTGTGTAATAAATATGTATAGTCAAGCAAAACAAATTCCCTCATTTGCCATGTTCAAAAATATATGTCTCATTCTTCACCCTGAATCCATCACCTCTCTGTCAGGAGGTGGATAGCATGTTTCATTGGTCCTCTGGAATCATGGATGGTCATTGCATTGATCATTGTTCTTACAGCTTTCAAAGTTGTTTGTCTTTACAGTGTTAATGGTATATAAATTGTTTCTCTGGTTTAGCATAACTCACCTTGCATATCTTCATACAAATCTCTCTATGTCTCTTTGAAATCACCTCTTGCCTCATTTCTACTAGCACAAAAGTATTCCATCATATTTGTGTAGCATAATTTGTTCAGCCATTACTCAATTAATTAACATTCCCCTTGTTTCTGTTTTTTTTTTTGCCATCACAAAAAGAGCTGCTATAAATATTTTTGTACAAACAGGACCTTTTCCTCTCTCTTTGATCTCTTTTAGGCATAGGCCTAGAAGTGCCATAGCTGGGTCAAAGGGTCACTGTTTAGTAGCTTTTTGTGTCCATTTCCAAATTGCTTCCTGGAATGGTCATACCAATTCATAGGTCCACCAGCAATGCATCAGTGTGCCAGATTTCCCACAGCCACTCCACATTTGTCATTTTCCTTTTTGGGGGTCATCTTTGCCAATTTGATGGGTTTTGAGTGGAAATTCACAGTATCTTTAATTTGTATTTCTTTAATTATTAGTGATTTGGAGGTTTTTAAAATATAGCTATATATTATATGAATATATGGAGTATTTGTGAAAAGTGAAAATTCATCTTAGTTATTGATTTCCCCTTGTATTGGGTCAATACATAATATATGGCCCCTTGCTTTTTGGTATCTGACCTTTTCCAGATTTCAGGACCTGGGTTCTAGCCTATGGACATTCATTCTAGCCTCCTTTAGTATTTTCTCAAAGGTTACAGGAAAGGCTATAAAACAACCAAGACTGTCTGTGAAATGGGTGCATGTGTAATTAGCATATCCCTACATAGACTTATATGGTGCTCTCAAGGATTTATTAATCAATTAATTAATCAATCATCAAGCATTTAATATCTTAAATGTGCCTTCTATGTTAGGTACTGAGGATATGAATGTAATAAATGAAACAATCCCTACTTACAGAGCTTACATTTTCAATTTAGAATTCCATAAATAATCTGAAGCAGCAATAATTTTTCCCATAGAATCTTCAATTTGGAAGGGACCTTGGAGGTCATCCAGTCCAATCCATAGCTAATTGGAACAAATTTAAGCCCTTTCCAACATGACAACCTTTCAAATACTTGAAGATGGCCATCATGTTCTCTCTAATTCCCCTCTTTCTCAAGCTAACCATCCTAAGTTACTTTATCTATTCTTTATCTATTTATTTTTTATTTATATTTATACTTTATCTGTATCTATTTATCTATACTTCATCTATTCTTTAAGTTCTCATATGACTCAATTTCTAGGCCTTTCACTACCTAGCTGTCTTCCTCTGGATGTGCACAAGTTTGTCAAGGTCCTTTGGACAACATGGCATCCAGAACTGTACACAATATTGCACTGGTGTGGTCTGACTAGTGCAGAATACAGCAAGGTCCCAAAATTTACTAACGTATGCAAACCCTCTGCTCAAGCTACACCACTACAGACCCTAGACCCCAAAGACATTAAAGAAAGTGGAAAAGGATTCTGTGGACAAAAATATTTTGAACAGTTCTTTTTATTAGTACTCTTTTCCCTAAAAGTGAAACTCAGCGGGTGTCCCTCAACAGGGGAATGACTAGACAAACTATGGTATGTGAAAGTAATGAAATATTTTTGTGCTGTAAGAAATTATGCAATAGATAGTTTCAGAGGAAAATGGAAAGACCTCTACGAAGAGCTGCAGACAATAGTGAGCAGAACTAGGAGGACAATTTATATGGCGATGACAACATTATAGAGAAAAACAATTTTGCAAGACTTTAAAACTGATCTATTCAGTGATAAAACCTGAGAGCTGATGGGCCTACAATACAGAAGGAGACATAATTTTTTGGACGTGGCCAATATGGGAATTTGTTTTGTTGGACTATGGAGATTTGTTATGGGATTTTTCTTTACAAAATGTTGTTCAGTTGAAGGGAGTGGGCAGTGTGAGGGAGAGATAATAAATACTTGTCAGAATGTATTTTAAGGAGCAGCTAGGTGGTGCAGTGAATAGAGCACTGGCCCTGGAGTCAGGAGGACCTGAGTTCAAATGTGACCTCATACACTTGACAGGTACTAGGTGTGTGACCCTGGGCAAGTCACTTAATCCTGTTGCCTCAGCAAAATATATATATATATATATATATATATATATGTATATATACATTCACACACACACACATATATATATGTATATATACATATACACACACACACATACACACATATATATACATGCACACACACACATATATATACACACATACACACATATATATATACATATATTATGTATATGTATATGTATATATATATAAGAAATTGAGAGAATACTGTGGGATTATAGGAGCATAGATTTAGAACTGGAAGGGACCTCTGTTGTGTGATTTAGACCAGCCCTCTCATTTCATTAAGAAACAAATTAGAGATGTTAGGTTACTTGTCCAAAATCATACAAGTAGCAGTGGGGAGAGCTGTTTGAATCCCAGTACTCTTTCCATGAGACTATATTCCTTCTATAAAATTTCTTGTTCTAAATACTCTGCCTCCCTTAATGAGGCTGAAGGTTGTTAGGGTTTGTGTTTTGTTTTTGGCTGTTTTCTGTTAGTTTACCTTACTGTGGTTTACATTACCTCTTGGACTCATATTGAACCTTGTTCCACCAAAATCTTTGGAATTCATTCATTCACTAAATATGAGTCCTTCCTAGGTACACAGGGAATCTGCTAGTTTCTGTGGGCAATGCAGGGATATGCAAAATATATTCCTCTGAAAAGTTTTTGCCCTGGGGGGAGATAAAAAATATAACTAGCAATCAATGCCAGAGTGAAAACAAAATGGGAACTATTAAAGGCAGTTGTACCAAATGAATGGGATAGACAAGGAGTAACAGAATCTTAGAATCTCAGAGTTGGAGGGGGGCCCCAGCGGTCATCTAGCCCAGCAGTGTCAAACTCAAACAGAAATGAGCCACTAAGCCATGCACAAGGATCCCTGTGGGGTGCATATTAACTGAGAAAACCACATCTAATGTTATCCATGTCCTATTGTATTTTCATTGATTTTGTTAAATATTTCCCAATTACATTTTAATCTGGTTCCCTCCTTACTCAGGAGCATTGTGAGCTGCAATTGCTGTCTGCTGGCTGAATGCTTGACATCTCTGATCCAATCTCACCAATCCACTAAGCAGAATATTTTCCCCAGCAACTCTAATAAAAGGTCACCCAACCCATGTTGAAAGGCCTTTAATGAGAGGAAAGCAAGATAGCTCATTCTGCTTTTGGACAGATCTAATTGCTAGAAAGTTTTCCCTTATATTGAATCAAAGTTGGCCTTTCTGTAACTCCCACCATTTGGAAGTTATAGACAGAAATAGTTCGGTTCTATGGGGCCAAGCAGAATGAGCATCATCCTTTTTCACAGGAGAATAGATTCAGAGCCTGAAGGGATCTCAGAGGCCACTAAGTCCAATCTTCTCATTTTACAGATGAGAAAATAGAGGCTGACAAAGATTAAGAGGCTTGCCTAGGATCATGTAGCTAATAAGTGCCCGAGGCAGGTTGTGAACTCAGATCTTCCTGAGTCAAAGTCCAGAACTATATTTGTTTTACCACATAGCAGTTCTTTAAATAAGTGACCTAGGAGTTTGGGAAGAAATAGATGATTGTGGACTAGAGAGT